GTAGCGGTGGCACATAAGGTGCCACCTGTGCCATGGGGTGTCCCATGTGTGGCATCTGTCACCTGAGGGTGGCACCTGTCCCATAGTAGTGGCATATGGGGTGACACCTGTCCTGTAGGAGGGCACCTGTCCTTTGGGGTGGCACCTGGGCCATGGGGGTGACACAGGGGGGTGGTACGTGTCCTGTGGGGTGGCACCTGTCCTGTACTGGTGACACCTGTCCTGTGAGGGTGGCACTGTCCCGTGGGTGGCGCTGTCCCATGGGTGGCACTGTCCCCTGAGGGTGGCACCGCCCTGAGGGTGTCACTGTCCCCCGTGGGTGTCACTGTCCCATGGGTGTCACCGCCCCATGGGTGGCACTGTCCCCTGTGGGTGTCACCGCCCTGTGGGTGGCACTGTCCCATGGGTGTCACTGCCCCATGGGTGTCACTGTCCCCTGTGGGTGTCACCGCCCTGAGGGTGTCACTGTCCCCCGTGGGTGTCACTGTCCCATGGGTGTCACCGCCCTGAGGGTGTCACTGTCCCCTGTGGGTGTCACTGCCCCGTGGGTGTCACTGCCCCGTGGGTGTCACTGTCCCATGGGTGTCACTGTCCCCTGTGGGTGTCACCGCCCCGTGGGCGCCCCGTGGGTGTCACCGTGCCCGGGTGTCTCGGGGTCCCTGAGCCCCTCTGTCCCCCCAGGTTGGACCAAGATGGCGCCGACCTCCTGGGGCAGCTGCTGCAGGTGAGGTGGGCGTGGCCTCTGCCGGCCCCGCCCCTTTGGCCACACCCAAACCCCACCCCCAGGGGGCGTGGCCTCCCCACGGGGGGTGGCTCCTAGGGAGGGGGTGGGGTGGCCACGCCCCTTTTCTGGGCGGGGTTTGTTGTGACCACGCCTCTTTGCTGGGCGGGGTTTGGATGTGGCCACGCCCCTTTGATGGCTGGAGGGCGCGGTTTGTATGTGGCCACGCCCCTTTGCTGAGTGGGGTTTGTGATTGGCCACGCTCCTTTGCTGGGCGGAGTTTGTTGTGGCCATGCCTCTTTGATGGGCGGGGTTTGTGATAGGCCACGCCCCTTTTCTGGGCGGGGGCGTGGTTTGTGTGACCACGCCCATTTTCTGGCGGGGTTTGTTGTGGCCACGCCCCTTTGATGGATGGGGTTTGTGTGTGACCACGCCCCTTTGCTGCGCGGGGGGCGGAGTTTGGGTGTGGCCACGCCCCTTTGTTGGGCGGGACTTGGGATTGGCACGCCCCCTTGTTGGGAGCGGGCGGGGTTTGGGCGTGACCACGCCCCTTTGTTGGGAGTGGGCGGGGTTTGGGCGCGGCCACGCCCCCTTGTTGGGAGTGGGCGGGGTTTGTGCGCGGCCACGCCCCTCGGTGGGCGTGTCCCACGGTGGGCGTGGCTGACGGGCGGGGCAGTTCGAGGGGCGGCGGCGGCTGCCGGCGGCCGAGGCCATGGGACACGCCTTCTTCAGCTGCCTGGGGCCGCGCGTCAGCGCCCTGCCCGACAGTGAGTGAGGGGCGGGGCCGGGGGCGGGGCCGGGCTGGGTGGGGCACTGGAGATTTGCATGGGCGGGGAATTGGGGCGGGGTTTCACATGGGTGGGGCACTGGGGGTGGGGCTTGGTGTGGGTGGGGCACTGGAGATTTGCATGGGTGTGGCATTGTGGGCGGGGCTTGGCGTGGGTGTGGCATTGGGGGCGGGGCTTGGCGTGGGTGGGGCACTGGGGCGGAGATTTGCATGGGTGGGGAATT